TATATATATATATATATATATATAGTATTTATAGAGTTTTAGCTTTTAGTTTTAATTACTTTTTCTTATTTGCAAGTCGCTTTGGATAAAAGCGTCTGCTAAATGACTAAAAGTAAAGTAAGTAAGTAAAAGTAGTGTCCATCGTATGCATGCTACGGAATTCGGGCGGAAGTAGTAGGTCATCCGGGTACTTCTCGCCTACTGTTTTTCGAATACTATGAATTCGGACATACTACTCGCCTCGCATACTGTTTTTCGCCTACTATACAGTATGGAAGTATGCGATTTCGGACGCAGCTTAAGTCTCAAAAATAACCTTTGTATGTCTGTATGTTTATCATCATGGCACGTCTTCATGTATTGAATGTCATGAGGCTTCACAGCCACCTTGTGGTCAAAAACAGGATAGCATCAACCTCTACAGCCAATAAAAGTTACCCTGTAAATATTATTTAAAAGTAAAACATATCCATCCTGTATCCCAATAACCATTTTTATACATTAAACTTTTTTCAAGGGGCTTGATTTGGTGATTTTTTTTTTTAATGTGACCCATTCACAAGGTTGTTGAGATCCTTTAAAAGAGACACATTAGCACAAATTATATTTTACGCTTAAGAGTTCTGAACTGGGATTCAAGTTTAATTGAGTAAAATCATCAGAAAACAATCATAAACACGTCTTTAAAAACCGCATGTCCACTTTAATTCTGGAGGAACCTGTATGTTTTCATATAGACTATGGACACAGAAATATTTATCTCGACTTTCTAAATATTAAATAGAACAGTACAGATCAGATCTTAGAGTCAACAGCTCAGCTGTGCAAAGTAAAGTGAATGGAAGTGTATTTTATAACTTTGAGCAGAACAATCTCCTTATTAAAGGTCCCTTTTGAAAGGAAAATACATCCGTTGAAATCTCAATTTTTGCTACTGATATTTTGTTTAGTTTAAATATTTGCAGTGGCTCTGTCTTCAGCCTGAACGCTAATGATTTATTCCATGTCAGCTAAGTTTGAAAGCAGTACAGTAAACCATCAGGGCAAATTGTTTGCAGTATTGGATATTTTTAGCTAAAAATAAAAAGCAACAGGAGGATGTACCAAATGCTTCAGCCTGCCCTGATGGCAGATACAAAAAGTGCATACAACAGCCTGAACTGTCACTATTAGACATAACTAAATCGGAGAATGGTTGTGTAAAGTAAAAAGACTACAGTGTTTCTTTTAACCATCTGTATTCTGAATAACATTTTAAGACACCCTTTATACACCTAGCAGCTATTGCTGCGAGAGAGGGACATGTGGATATGGTGAGACTAAAAGATGCATTGTATTATTGGTATTATTGTTAAAAGAAATAGCATTCAAATACAGTCCGACACATTCAAACATTGGATCTCGACCCCAGCCAAAATATCCCTTTATAGGAATATCAAGATGTTTTATAGAAATAAACAACCCTTCAGCCTTAAAACAACATCATACATTTTTTTGTAAAGATCAGAAAAAAGGGAAACCGTTTTCATAGCTCAAATGAACACCAACCTTATTAACAGTATGGTTAATGATATGATATGATATGGTCTATATTTATGAAATTAAGACAACAAATAGACAAACACTGTGTTCCTCACTGATAGCTAAGATTAAGGAGCAATGACAATGTTACGTTTGTGCGTGTGTGTGTGTGTGTGTGTGTGTGTGTGTGCGCGCGTTGTGTCCTCAGGGAGCTCGCCTGTCCCTCTTGGAGAGGAGGTAGCATTGGATGGTGCGCAGACGATCTTTGGCTGGCCCAAATTCTGGCTGGAGTTTTAGAGTCGACTCGTACCAATGCATGGCCTTCTCAAACTCCTCCTATGAAGACACATTAAGTACGTATTAAATGCAGTCATCACTTAACATCAATAAAATCCCTCATAAGACTCTTACCTTAAAATCACTTACCATAGCTATATAAACATTTGCCAGAGTAAAATGGTTAACCACAAAGTGAGGAGCAATTTCCACTGCCATGCGTGCCACAGTCAGGGCGTCCTCCCATAGCCTCGCATTATGGAAGATGTTGGCAAGGCTGATGAGAGGCACATCCTAACACAACAGAAACAAATATTCACATCTTGCAGTAAGATCGGCTTTTGTGCAAGCCAGCCAATGGAGACGAAGTCTAATAATAGAAGAACTAGCAGAACCTTCATGTGGTGAGGAGCGTAGTTCAGAGCCTGGCGGAGGCAGTCGATGGCTCTCTTTCCCTGACCTTTCACCCTCCAGTACAATGCTGCCATGCTGGACAGAACCCAGGATGTCTGATTCTAATGGATAAACGATCACCCAGATCATGAAATGGAACAATCTATTACTCACTGATAAACTTTCCATCGAGTTGTTCTCAGCTAGAAATACAAACAGTCATAAAGTTTGTTTACATGCACAGTTTTATCATCAGTTTGGGTTTTTGAATAGTCCAGCTACAGCCCTGTCTGTCAGTCCTAGTATCCACCTTATTTTGCAACACGGAAGTAAGCTATTTTCTTGAATGTGTGAGACTTCTGATTCATTAGTCGCTAAAGGTAAATAACTATAAAGCTACAAACCATTGTGTTTATGATTACAATAATGAATGATGATAACAAATTCCAGTTTGCAATATCAAACAGCATAACAGACTGTTTTTGTACAGGTAAAATAACCGGAGGCCTTGCACATTCAAGTTCCAAATAGCTGCGCCCGCTCTTATGTTAAAAATAAGGTGCATACCATTTTAGTGGGTATCATTTTAGTCCCATTAACATGAATACACAATGGATAAAGCTACACTAACATTATCTACAGCACCTTTTAAAAGTCTGGGGTCAGTAAGATTTTTTTAAAGAAATAAAAACATTTATTCAACAAGGATGCATTAAATTAATCAAAAGAAAGTAAAGACACTCATTTCAACTCTATTTATCATAGAATCCTGAAAAAAAACTTAGTTTTAGTAACTTAATTTCCACAAAAATACTAAGCAGCACAACTGTTTTTAATCACTTAATAAATCAACACTGAGCACCAAATCAGCACATTAACATGATTTATGTAGGATCATGTGACTCTGAAGACTGGATTAATGGCTGCTGAATATTCAGCTTTACCCTCACAGGAATAAATTTAATTTTAAAATATATAATAGAAAATAATTGTACATTTTAGTGATATTTTACAATATTATTGTTTCTACTATATTTTTTATCAAATAAATGCAGCCTTGATAAACATAAGAGACTTCTTTCAGAAACATTACAATATCTTACCAAGCCTAAACCTTTACAAAGCAGCACAGGTCTTTGCAAATCCAGAAGGGTACGATTTCATTTAGATATTAAAAATACTTTTTTTTTTTTTTTAACCCAACTGAAGGCAACTTTTAAAGAGCATGTGAGCACACTTGTAGTTACATTCTTAAAACAAACACTCAGTGTAATACCTTTTCCAACACCTTTGCAATACGTGTTCCCACTTGTTCAAAAGACTGTGAGGGAAATTGATCTTTTCCCAGATTCTGCAACACCTGTGACAGAAGAGTGAGGGTGAGATGAGAAAAAAAAACAGCCATTCACAAACGTCAGAACTTTTCAGATCAGCAGAATCTAGAAGATTAAAAAACACCTCTCTGAGTTGACTCTCTCCAGTATAGTGAATGCCTCCGCGGTTGGCAACTCCGCTCAGATGGTCCAGTGTGTGCATACTGGCAGGGAGATTGGCATTACACACCGGCTCCACTGCTGGCTCCTGAAGCGGTGTGGCAAAGTCTATATGCTCTGTGATACTGTGAGGAGTTCAGAGTCATATGTTAGTGGAAAAGAGCCCGCTATGAAAGTATTCTGACAGAATGACTTTGCGAATGATATCCTACTCTATGTTCTTGGCAGACACAGCCAGCCAGGTACTAGCCACAGTTGTGAGGTCCACACGACGAGTGCGCTGACATTCCTCTGGACCGGGCCAACCCAGACTGCTGTAGTCCTTCCATCTCTCTAAAGACACGTAAAATATTATGACGTCATGATGCCTTTCGCAGCTACAGAGCTAGCAGAATCATCTCGGTGTCAGCGTTGTTATTGTTAACAAACTAGGGTTGTAATTTGTAACGAAAATTTTCGATAAGGGTCTTTCGGTTCAGTATGCAAAAATCATTCTATTTTTCAGGCAATTCAGACAATAAATGCTGTTTTGACGCTCTTTGATGTGGCATGACATATCGCTGTATAAATGCCTCAGTTCTGATGGCAGCGCGGAGCGCAAGTGAGCACGATCATCCCTACTAATCATCTTTACTAATAGTTTTAACGTGAAATAAACATGAATCGACATCTCACCCCTCACGTAATTGCTCAATTAGCATTTCAAAATGGCTTGTAAACAAAATGTCACATAGCATTTCATTTACCCCAGGCAAGTCATCAGTGTCCTGCCCACAGCTCGTTATTTGCTAGAGAAATGAAGTCTAGTAAAGAGCACTTTGCGAAATATTAGACTCTATAACGTTTCTTCATTATATTTTACTTTACTTGTTAATGATATCTTTATTTAATATATGTTTAAATAAATCCTTTATGAAACAAGTTATGACAATCACTCTGTAAATTATTACACACAACAACAAATAGAAATTGTATAATTTAGAAGTTAATTTAAAAATATGTTTGCATACAATTTTTTTTATTTGAGTGTTAATTATTATAGTTAAAAATAAATAGTAATTGAGTTTAAGTTTGAGCTCTGTTGTTAACTGTAACCTTATAGTAATGTAAAAGGGTTCCCTAGTTTAGAGAAGAATCTGAGGTAGATTTTTATCCCTAAGAAAATTGTAATTATAATTGAATTTTTTTACAGAAAGAGCAATTTGTTCAGTAAACCATTGTTTAATTAAAAAAGAAGCAATTTATATTTAGTTTTTTCCTCCTGCTGAACCGAAACCATACCAAACCGTGACTTAAAAAAACGAGGTACGCACCGAACTGTCATGTTTGTGTACCGTTACAACCCCTATAACAAAACAAACCATAATCATTTCTGTTTACTGAAATAAAGCTGAAATAAAACAAATATTAGATGAAAAACTTAAAATGTTGCCTTGGCACCTAACTGAAAGTTTAAGTTGGACTAAAATGACAAAATAAAAACTGAAATGAAAAAAGTTAAACAGAAATAGATTTAAACTACTAATTTTGCTAAAACTAAAATGAAAATATAAACCTAAAAGTTAAAATATCTCAAATATTAAAGACTGTATATAAATAATACTAAATGTCATGTAGGAAGCACCTGAGGGTCCAGGCGAGGGGATTGTGGGTCCACTGATCTCAAGGATGGAGTTGCTTGCTGCAGGTTCACTCTGACGAACATCTCCTTCTCCCACCCAGCCCTCCGAGTTATCAGTTTTGGGCTTTTTCACACGTTTCACCTGGAATGTTATCTGAAGAAATGAAGAGAACAGCAAACAGTTCAATTCTTCTTGATTACGAACACAAAAAGTTCTTAAGCATTTCAGCAGAGAGACATACCCATTCAGCTCCCTCATCATCCTCACAGTTGCCGAAGCAGGGTCCTCCCGCTCTCGCCCCCATGACCCTGTCGGTTTTCAGCACGCGGATGCCCCGTAGGTCCCCTGTCCTCCCGTTCATGTCCAGAGCCCCCTCAAATGCTCCTATCAGCTCTTCTCTCAGACGCCAGTCCTGCTCCTCTTCCTCCACCCCGTCAGTCTTTTGCTCTCGGACCCTGTCCTGCCCACTCGCCTCCCCTGAACCATTGCTGTCCACCACCACCTCTGCAGAAGACGAGAGAAGAACAGAGAGAAAAGGTAAAGAGTGCTGCTTGTTTAGAAGCACACAAGAGTTGAGCAGAAGACCTTGTTCAGAAGATTTCATTAATTCTTTTCCATGTGGATTGACATCCTCAATCGGACAATGACTGTTGTCACACTGTTGTGTATTCTGCCAGCTATTGTTTAAAAATAGTAAGTGAAACAACATGAAATATAAAACAGTATAAAATATGCAACCATAAATCTTTAACATAGTGCTGTGCTATATTGCTATATCACATGGCCTCACTACACTCCGTTTAATTTAGCAAGGACAGGACAGTTACCATCACAGAGCCTTTTTTCACATTTTTAAATTAAATCTGGAGTAAAAATGTCAAATTTAACATGTAAAGGCTTACAATTAATATATGTTTAAGTTTATAAAGCATGGGGAAAGTGACTATTAATAAATGATTCACATGAAACACAATCTGTTGGGTTTTTGTATGAAAATTGCAATTACATATTTCAAATTATTGATAGGTAATATAGGTAAAGTTAACTTCTAGTAGTCAGATCAAATAATCAAAAAGAGTTGATGAAGAGATAAAATTCACAGATTTTGAATGTGTAGTATTGCAGTATACTTTCCTTTACAGAGAGACCCTAAAACCCTGGTTACATTTACATTTCGAAGTGGGTGAAATACACACATTTTTAATAGGAATCCACACATTTGTGAATTTCACATGAGAGCAAAAGATTTCCACATGCAGATTTCGCAGCAAGTTCAAATTTGTCGTGCGATTTTACCACATTTGCCAACAGAAAGCTACTTGGTATAAAAGTGAATTCTGTGAGAGATGTGCTTCATACATCGCTACAATATTGACCTATTTTTCTAGACACGTTTTTTTTGCAGAGATTTTGCTAATGTGAACACTGATGAGGTCAAATTCTGTCTGACAACTGTCACAACATTTCCAATATATTGTAGATATACAGTGGAGTCTAAAATTCTGAGACCGCAAACCTTGAAACAAAGATTTAGGGGTTTGAATAATGTCAAAAATAAACGCTATAATGTAAAAAATAAACATACAAATAAATAAATAAATAAGAGATATTTCAGATTTAATGCCATTTCTAAGTCACTAATGGAATAAACACTTGTGACATTAAGTATGTGAACTCACTTAAATTGTTATGCTAATAATAAATGCAACATAGAAGTATTTTTTTTTAGTGGTCTCAGAATGTTGGACTGAGTCCACTGTATTGTATATGAACATCAAACACAGAGAAAGAAGCCCCCATAAGCTTCATTATTAATCTTACTCTCAAAGAGAAGAGAGTCTTCTAAAGCAGACACAGGCATGGCATCAGTGTCCCAGGCCTCCTGCCTGCTGCTGCTGCTGGCCGTGTCCCATTCCTCCAGCTCGGTGTCTTCCTCAGCCTCACAGCCAGAGCCAGCTACACACACACACACACACACACACACACACACACACACACAATTCAGCTCACATGTTGCTTAACTTAGATTTTTCAAATCAATACAACTGCATTATTTATAAGAAGGTAGAAACAGAAGCCACTAGGACACACATTCACCATTCACATTGTTGTATAAGTGAAAAGTGTGTTAGTTCAAAAGGGGTTTGCCATATTAATCACTAAATCAATAGCTCAGAGTTCCCCCAAACAAGAAGAGGACAATGAGTTCATTTTTGTCTGCAGAGCGCAGCGGCATCTAAATAAAGCCTGTGCTATTTTCAGTGCCCTGAATTATCGAGGACACGATTTCGCTATTTCAAAGTCTCTCTCACTCAGAAGAGTGCCAGGGGAGAGAGAGCTGAGCTAGAGAAGGGGAGCAGTGCAGGATGCTGAGGAGAAGAGAAAAGGGGAGCAGAAGAGGGAATGGAGCAAACCCAGAATAGAAGATGCAACGGTAAAGAGTCTAAAATTGGCTCAAAGATTACAGTGCCTGGCTATAAAAAGAGAGCGCTGCCGCTGAGGCTGCAACACCAGGGAGGAGGAAAGAGTGAGTAATGGATGAAGGTGAAGTGGGATAGCTGTCTGGGGGGGGGGACTCTCGGTTCAGTGTTGAAAGGGTCCCACAGGTTTACAGAGGAGGCTACTTACATGGACAGGCCTGGTGCTGGAGATTGTAAAGGAAGGGGTAAAACTGGAGACAGCGCATTAGAGGCAGGCTGGCACGACACTGGGGACAATGAACTGTGAGAGTCAGGGCCCGACGAAACACGGCCAGAGCTCCAGTCAGGTTTCCCTGAGAGAGGTGAACGTTGACCAGACTTAACAGGGTGTGAGGCTGGTGTAAAAAAGAGAGAGAGAGAAAGGTACATTTATGTACATAAACTTCTCTGTTTTGACTAAAGGAATAGCTAACCTAAAAATGAAATTTATGTGTTGAAGTCATTCAAGGTGCAGATAAGCTTGTATTGGAAAAGATTGTAGAAATATAGCATTACATCACTTGTACAACAATAGATCTTTTGCAAGTGAATGGGTGCAGTCAGAACGAGAGTTCAAACAGCTGATAAAAACATCACAAGTTATCAATACAAAGCCAGTCCATCAATTAACGTCTTGTAAAGTGAAAAGCTGCATTGATTTTTGTAATAAATCATTAAGGCATTTTAACTTTAAACCATCACTTCTGGCCAAAATAGAGTCTACCGAGTTCATAATCCATAAAAATGCTTCACCCAGTAAAGACCTCTCTCGTCCAAGTCCACTGACATATTTGGTAAGAAAAGTTTCAGAATGCTTTCATTTGTAAACAATGCTTGATCTGTGCATATTTTTCTCCTGATTCAGAAAAGATGACCTTTTCAATGGAGAATACAATATTTTGGATTATGGACTATTTAATAGGACGCTAAAGTTTGAAGTGACCATCTTAATGATTCATTCTGACAGCACCCATTCACTGCAGTGGATCCATTGGTGAGCAAGAGATGTAAAGCTAAATTTCTCTCCAAATCTGATCCAATGTAGAAACAAATTTGGCAACACTTTAATTTAGTGACCAATTCTCTCACTATTAACTAGTTGCTTGTTAGCATGCATATTACTAGCATATGGCTGTTTATTAGTACTTATAAAGCACATATTAATGACTTATTCAACATGACCATATTTTAGATTTTTTAACCCTGCCCCCTACCTAAACTTAACTACTTTACTATTAATAAGCAGCAAATTATGAGTTTATTGAGGCAAAAGTCATAGTCAATAATTAGTTAATAGTGAGAGCTGGTCCCTAAACTAAGGTGTGACCACAAATTTAAACTTCACCTTGGATGGCCTGAGGGGGAGTAATTTTCAGCAAATTTTCATTTTGGGGTGAAATAAATGTATACTTTGGGCTGTCAATTTAACCTGTTAGTGTGATCAATTCCAAAGAAAACTATTTGATAAAATGAATGCACTCTGACACATATATAAATGAAAATATGAGAAATTCAACTTTGAAGTGCCACTTGCATGTTTTTGCAAGTCTTCAGTAATCTGACAAGCAGCTCGCCACATTTCAGCAGAACAGCTAGCACAATAATCAAATGAGTAAAGCCCAAGGTATACTTTGGTTTCTATGCATGTTAAATTTTATCAACAGCATATGAAAGCACAGAGTCAGATTTTTCTAACCACATAAATGTATACTTTTTTTTGTGCAATATTGTCTGTATGTCTGACATTTAAATTCTTCTGTGGCATCAAAGGAATATTTTCATGGGTGTCATGTCAAAATTAGATTGTACTTAACATTGTAATCAACAAGCTGTCTACACTGCATCCTAGTTATGTAATCACTTACAGTGTAAACTGGGTAGTAGTAGTCTGCGCTGAAAAGGTGTGGTGTTCAATATAAAGTCTCCATTATAGGTCAGTGTCAGTGTGCATACCTCGGAGCGGTTGATCTGCAGGGCCTGTTGCAGCAGCTCATGGGCCTCGTCATGCAGGCCGTAGTGCAGCAGCAGGTTGGCAGTGTTGATCAGAGGCATGTCTCTGTGCTGAGGAGGGGCAGAATGGAGCGCCTGACGCAGACAAGCCAAAGCTTGTGTGCCATTTCCTTTAGCACGCCAGAAAAGACCTGCTTCATTCTGTATCATCCACAGCGGCCCACTCATCTGAGAGAAAATGACATTCCATTTGACCTTCGGTAAAGCTTTTGTTTTTACCATCACAATCCTAGTTTTACATTCAAATGTTGCAAGCAGACAATCTGACAACCAATTATGAGCAGCTAACAATTTCTAAAATGGAACCATCTGTCATTATTTACTCATGCTCATTAAGTTGCAATATTAGTGTAAGAAACCCATACACAAAAATAACTTTTAAAGAACCTTCACATAGAAATCATTATCATGACAGTGACTATGTGTTGTTCAGATCCTAAAAGGCCAAAGTAGTACTATAAAAGCATCATTGCACCAACCAACACCACCACTGTAGGGTCAACATTTTTTTCCCACAAAAGAAATTAATATTTTTATTCAGCAAAGATGCATAAAACTGATCACAGGTGACAGTAAAAAAAAGTCTACATTGTTATAAAAGATTTCTATTACTAGTTTCTATTCATTTAACTATGCTGAAAATAATGTTTCCACAAAATATTTAGCAACACAAATGTTTCCAACATTGATAAAAAAAAAAACATTTCTAGAACAACAAATCAGCATTAGAATGGTTTGAGGGATTTTAATGATCACATAACACTAACAACTGGAGTAATGGCAGTGATTAGATTTTTAAAATTTTACAATTTAAAAATTACATTTCAAAATATGTGTAATTGTGTATGATTTGAAAGTTGCAGCCCAGATAATGATAATCAGTCAATACTAGTGTCTTACATTTGGGTCTATTACTTACACAAAACTATCATATGGCTTCTATGTTGCACTTTATATTATTTACTCTTTAACACACAAGTCATAATGACAACTTTAATGGTGCATTTATAGCGTTTTTTCATCCTTTTCTGAGCTTAATGGTCCACAGTAACTATGTTGTATAAAAAAAAATATATATTATACAAATGTTCATTATAAAGTTACTGATTCTTCAATTCTATCTGTACTTCACACTTATCTATATCCCCCACATTTTCATCTCTACTGCGTCACTTGTGGATGCACATTCACGACAGTACCATGATGCAAGATCTGGCATGATGACGTTGAACATCATCACGCCGGATCTGGGTCAGCACCGGCGCCGCCACATGCTTGCGTCATGGTACTGTCTTGAACACGCGTCCACGACATGGGAGGGTCAGAGTACGAGTGTATGGGAGGGTCAGAGAATGTTACGAAAATGAAAGGTCTTACGGGTTTGGAACACCATGAGGGTGAGTAATTAATGACAGAATTTTCATTTTTGGGTGAACTATCCCTTTAAGATAACTACATTTTATGGCTAAACCTTCCAACATTTTGAGTGTTTTCATTGCAATGGTCAGGTGGTATACTTGTATAATTCAAAAAGTTTTAACAACGAGTTTGACTAGTTCAGTCAGAACTTAGTTCGAAGTCAGAATCTCATAATTACAATAATTCGAACATGGCTTGAACACACCTTTATACTGTGTTCTAACATATATAAACAACATATGCAGATAAAAATATGCCAAAAAATAAATGTGCCAATAATTAATATATCATGTAATCTGTCTGAAGAACTTCTCATTCAAAAAGTTCAAAACAACTCCTACTCATGCATTTGTGTTAATTAAAATGTTAGGCTAATTCTGTTGTTTTCAGCTAACAATAGCAGGGTTTACCAAAAAATAAAATAAATAAAAAAATCGACACACTCTTACATCGGTGGAGGTGGTCTCCTTGTCCCAGTGGGCTGCAGGTTCCCGTCCTAAAGACACGGTGTAGGACTGCTGAGGACTGTGACTCTCATTCACACTCAACTCGGACACCAGAGCAACACTGCTGGCTACTGACACTTCCTCACCAAACTACAAGCACGCGTACACACAGGAAAAAAAGAGGAGGTTGACACTTAAGCAATATAACAAAGAAGACTGATGTTATACTGAATATCATCAACAACTTTATCACATGTAAAGTATTGCTTTCATACAACCGTTTTATAAACAAGTTAGTTTCAGCTTCTCAGCTAATTTGTTTAATTCTGATCCGCATACAAAAATAGTTTTGCAAGCAGTCAAAGTAGGGTATAGTGGTCACGCAAACAAAACAATAATATGATCCACTGTTGTTACATGAAACACTGCTTGTCCACTGAAATTTGTGGACTGGCATTACTATAGACCGATGCTTCTCAACCAGAGGGCCAGGGTCTACTAGGGGGCCTCCACACACTCCTAAGGCGCCCTCAAGGATTCAAGCATTTAAATAAGCTACAACAACTAAAAAAAATCAAGATATTACTAATTTTAAATGTTTTTTCTAGACATGAAAAAGTCACATTTTGAAACTCCATAGGAACTTAAATAATGATATACATTTTGCAATTTCGGCTAAATATTTTATTGTGTAGAAATCGAGTAAACTACTTCAATATTTATTCTAAATATTAACACACACAAAGCAAAATAATTAGAATGGTGTGTTTTCAGTTTCACCTGAATGTAGTGGACATTTTCAAACAGTTCTCCACGGTGATACCGTACAGGCAAGTCATACGGGCAATGCAGGGTGAACTTCTGCTGGCCCATATGACACATTTGGTGATTTCCTGAAACAAAACATTTAAGTCCTATTATCCGCATTCCTGCAATCAACAGGGGAAGAGAACAAACGTGGCGCCAAATAGATCTGGCAGGCTTGCGAAACTTGTTGATCCAGTATACTGCACAATCTTGAGTTTGTGGGTCTATGTTACAGAAACTGTATGATTGGAATTGAAAGGTAAAACATGCAGTCTAACCGAGTTGAGCTTCTTTAGCCATTTGGGTCTCGTGGATGATATTTCGCAGGATCTGCTCTTCCTGAATGAGCTTGTGCTTGTCCAGCATCTCCTGCTGCCTCAGGTAATGATCATGCTGCTTTTGGTACTCCTTCAGTTCATTCAGGGTGCGTTGCAAAGACCTGGACAAAGAGTCAGGGAAGACGCACTTTTCTGAGCACAAACTCAAAGATTAATTTGTGCCCTCTTCCTTGTCATCAACAGAACAACTGCAAGATATTTATCATCACTGCCAGAAAACAAATGCTCAAGTCTGAATGTTACAATTGGAAAGCATCGTCATTTGCTTGGATTTTGTTTATCTGGGGTAACTACCAAAATACTGTCAACATTGTGTCAGAATTTACACAATATCACAAAATATACATTTACAACAGCACTTCACTCGGTGTTTAACACATGATGTGTGGTTCTTAGTTTGTAAGTCGACTTCCAAATGAAACAAATCTAACTTTTTGTTTAATCAAACCTCTAGTGTGAAAACACTATAATTTAAAGCCCATTACAAATATCTTTTTTTTGTGTGCACCTGAAGAATCATGTGACACTGAAAACTGTGGAGCGGGGGCGGGGCCTTCCCTCTTTTTCTCGCTTTCCTTCCACAAAGCGGTGTGCGCATTTTACTTTCACTTTCAAATAGCGGCAATTCGGAGTAAAGCAATTGTTCGTTTTTAGTTCGTTTGAATTTTCCCTCTTTTCCTCGCTTTCCTTCACTTTTAAATAGCTTAAAAGCGTCGAGCGCATTTTACTTTCACTTTTGAATTAGCGGCAGTTCGGCGTCAATTGCTTAAATGCAACAACAAAATACAACGTCAAACTCACTTTAGCCTATATATAAAACAAAGAACTTTTATTAACAAAACAAATAAAAATACACCATGCTATAGGGCAGGCTATGCCTAATATAAAATAACAAATAACTTAATAGGTTTATAGGTATATACATTATATACCTACATTATAATAGGTATACAAAACTGGAAATAAGTAAACATGTATAATATATAACCAAATAAATAAGAAACATAGAACGTTTATTAGCAAAATCCAAAATATTGCCAAATAGGCGCTTTTGCATTTCGTTTCGAAACTAAATCATCCGCTATCGTCTTGTCTGTCTCACCTCACTCTTCTTGTCAGTCAGCTCGACTCAAGGCCTCACTGGAGAAATGAAATCTGATCAGTGATGCTACTGTCGTTCGGCACGCTGCATTGAGCAGCCGCATTCCGTTTTTAATTGTAGTGTCTGTTCTTTTACTGAACTAAAGTATTTTTATTACTATAAAAAATCAAAACGATGGTAGTGGTCGGTGACGCGGTGGGCAAGTGACGTAACTGGTGTTGCGGCTTAACACCGGTATCACCGTCAGCAACGTCTATCGCGGCAAGCCTAATACTTTTTAGTATTCGTTTTCTTAACGAGACTCAAGAGTAATTGCACTGAAAAAGAGAGTCAAAGTCACAGCAGTCAATGAGAAAACAAATAGTCTGTGTTACCGATGTTGAGCCTCAAGCCTCTGCTCCAGCTTCTGCTGACAGAGGACGGCATGTTTCCTCCTCAGGGCCTGCTCAAAGCCCGGCTGAGCCTGCAGGGCCTGCTCATAGCACAGCACGGAGTGATTATACTCCCCCAACATCTACCAGAGAGACAGGAGGAAGGGAGAGAGATGCAACAAGGAAGTGAGTGTCATTTGATACAAACAAAGAAATCAGACACTAAAGAAAAACTGCCATTTCCTGTCCAGTAGAAAGTGCATGTGCACAGAGGATTATGAGGACGTTCAAAAACATTTAAAAATTTTATTTTCAGAAACTATCCCTCTTCTTCAAAATGCTGCACTCACAGCGTAAATGTTGCCCAGGGTGTAATGGCTGGTTAGGAGATCGGTGGTAAGATCCAGAGCAGCGTGGGCGAGAATGGCGGCATCAGCCGAGAAGTGTGCTCTGTGAAGTATGTTAGCCATATTGATGAGAGCAACATCTTTGTGCTGCCTGCAAAAGGAGAGGAAGTACAGGCAAATTTATGTAAAACAACTTATGCAAGGCTTTGCGCAGGTGACAAAACACTGATTTCACTGTTGATAAGCTATGCCCACTATACATCTGCCATTTGTATCAATGTGCCATTTCACTTTACCTTGGAGAAAAATGGAGGGCACGGACCACACAGTCCACAGCTCGCCTGGGTTCATTCTTCATCCGCCAGTAGAAGGAGGCCAAGTTATAAAGCACCCATGAAGAGGAATTCTTAGAAAGTGAGAAAAAGACAGTCATCATTAATCTTGAGAAATGACAATTTCAGCTGACTTCTGTTATTATCTACAAGCCTTTAAAAACGGCAACTTAGAGGAAAAAAATATCATGCAACCTTAAAAATACCTGACATTTACTGTGGTTAGAAGAAGGACGCGGCTTTCTAAGCAAAGATGCTCAAAGTAAAGCCCTTTATGCACCTTAAAAATATTTATTAGCTTTGATTTTGACAAAGATGCCTTTGTGACTCAAAGCTAAAAATGTTCCTTATTGTGCATTTTAATGCTGGGTTTCATCTTATGAAGCACAATAATCTTATATTAGGAGAATATAACTACAAAGATTTCCAGTCACTATAGAAAATACTACTTTTCCAGCCTAGAAATCACAACTGCAACATTTCAGGTGAGAACCCTGAACTTTAGAAATCAAGCAAATCAACTTACTTTTAGAAGGGCCTGGTGTATCCGATGCCCAATCTCATCCACACTCTGTCCCAGCTTAAGAGACAGGGAGGTAAAGATTGGGTCATCCTTTGAAAGCAAGGGTGATGTTAAGTTTACCTTCTCCTGTACACCCTGAGAGGGGGAAAAAAAACAATGAGCAAGAAGTCAATAAGCCCATGCTCGAGAGTAAAGTTGGCATAAGATGAAAATTCACCTTTGTATTTTCTAAATGCCTCTTATAGATCTTAATGTTAAAAAATTGATCTGTGCATGTTTCATTTGTTGATCACATAATGTTAAAACAAAATTACATAACTGGACCTTCTAGAGAAAACAACAGACTTCTCTCGTGATGCATGCAGGACGTCTCCAATCATTGAGTCTGTTTAAACCCTACACTGCAAGCTCGCATTCATTTGACTCCATTTTTAAATGCTATGCCCACATATTTTGAATAATTATGATAGCTTTAATGTTTTTGTTCATCAAGCATTTAATGTTCAACAAAGCTGCTTTTATTGAATAATAAATGTATATAAATCAGTATATTAGAATGATTTCTGAAAGATCGTGTGACACTGAATACTGGAGTAATGTCTGCTGAAAATTCAGCTTTACTACAGGAATAAATTACATTTTAAAATATATTAAAATAGAAAATAGTTTCAATTGTAATAACATTTCACAATATTACGGTTTTTACTGTATTTTTTAAATCAAATAAATGCAGGCTTGATGAGCATAAAAGTCTTCTTAAGAAACCTTTTAACCAGTAGTGTATCTATGGGTAAAGCTTAAAACACTTACAGGAATAAATTACATTTTAAAATATATTAAAAAAGAAAATAGTTTCAATTGTAATAACATTTCACAATATTACGGTTTTTACTGTATTTTTTAAATCAAATAAATGCAGGCTTGATGAGCATAAAAGTCTTCTTAAGAAACCTTTTAACCAGTAGTGTATCTATGGGTAAAGCTTAAAACACTCAAAGCACTCACCCTGAGGTGCTGAAATGCATGAATGCTATAAGGGAGATCCAGAATTTTAGCGCAGTCAGGTTTTTCCAGGTCTGGAGGTAGAGGAGATATCGGATCCAAAAAATCCTCTGGACTAGAAAACCGCAACAATAAAACCATAATGACGTATTTGATAATAACAATTAAAATAACTACATAAAAACACAAGCAAACACCACTTACTTTATGTCTTTGCTCTCCAGGGATATAAAAGTGCCATCATAGAGATCCAAGTCTCCCAGAGCAACTTTAGCGGTGACACAGTCAGCATCCTCTTTATAATGTCGCTGCTCCAAACCAGTATCCCGGTCCTCGTTCTCTTCAATGTGAATCTTCTGAGCAACTAGTTGTTTCTGCAAAATGTACAATAACTCACTGTCAGACAAGCGATTAGGGAAGCATACCTTTACTTCTAGAGCTGCCTTCTTCAAGACAAAGTACATTGTAAAAGACCCTTTTAGGTTATGATGAATGTGAGGCTTAGCATCACCTCTAACTTCTTGAGGTAGTTCACACGAGTCTCTTGTTGCATGAAAAGAACTAAATGGTGGGGATGTTTCAAGTTAAGAGGAGAATCCACCTGAAAAGGAAAGGGAGCATGAAAAAGGCAAAGGCTAAATCAATGCGCACACATGCTTTCAGCAAGAGTCACTATGGGACAGATATGAGGTCAGAGATTATTAGACATCAAGAAGCCAAATCAGGCTGATGATCTGGACAGTATTACTGAATCACTACACACTAGTGCGCGATTATATCGTGATAAGCAGCAGACAACAGCGGTCAACACATGAGCTCGACACACGCATCTGTCTGACAGCTGTATAAAGCAGTGTTAGTGAGTAACAATCAGATTAGAACGCTACTGCTGACAACTGTTAATATCTTGTCTTGTAAATATAGCCTAGAGAGCGATGGAGTGACTAAACACGACACAGTCGCGTACCTGCTGTTGGATTTTGCCGTCCTCTGTCACCACCCAGTGCGTGGTGGCTCGCGCAGGCTCGGCCAACAGTATACCGATAAACACCACCGCCGCCCCGCGAACAGAAGGGCTCCAGAACCGTTTATTAGTGGAATGACTGCCTATGCTATTGCTCTTGTCATCCGCCATCTTTTTACTGTCTGTCCATTCGATCCTAAAGGTTCGCGTCATTCACCACAATCTGCTTCCGGGTTACAGAGTGACCCCGCCCCCAAACATTCGCCAAACTCATAATAAAAATTAAAATGACCAATGTTATGCCATTTGCGTTTTAAACTACTATGTTATAGTCACGGTCAACGCAACTATAATTGATTACCCTTCACTTTTAGTCAAAGAACAATAACATATTTTAACATAATAACCCATAGTAGAAAAAAAAGTCAATAAATGCCAAGTATATAATTATAGGTACAACTCAATCACACACATTTTGGAGGCATTAAATACAATACCCACTATGTAATATAACGTACCAATTAAATTGACTTAGCAATACAAAGTTGGGGTTTATATTTGTAAATTTGCATTAATATATCCGATATTACATGAGACTTTATAAGTGAAATAAATCTGTGAAACGAAAAATTGTTTTCCAAAAAAACTGCAGTTTTGTAAACTTTGTATTTATTTATTGAGGTTTTTTAACTTCTATAAATGCAGACTTCCCTGCTGAAAAAAAAACAATAGAAAGCATCACAGAATTTGTAACGGTTTTACTGGTTATAATGGGACTTGTATTGGTTTAAATGGAAACTGTAATGGACCCTGTGGGTCAAAAATGACCAATGTTATGCCATTTGCGTTTTAAACTACTATGTTATAGTCACGGTCAACGCAACTATAATTGATTACCCTTCACTTTTAGTCAAAGAACAATAACATATTTTAAACTTTGTATTTATTTATTGAGGTTTTTTAACTTCTATAAATGCAGACTTCCCTGCTGAAAAAAAAACAATAGAAAGCATCACAGAATTTGTAATGGTTTTACTGGTTATAATGGGACTTGTATTGGTTTAAATGGAAACTGTAATGGACCCTGTGGGTCTCTACTAGTAATTGGTCACCTTCTATTGGTGGCTTGTTAGAAACGCTAAATCCTAATGGAATATGTCCCCCAAACACACTACAGAAAACCATTTTTAATGGTTTTAATAGTTAAAAGCTGATGGTTTGTAATGGTATTTGTAGTGGAAACCAATAGAGTGATGGGGGGGGGGGTTCAGCAGGGTTGCTTAAAATCTAGATGTAGTTTAAGATTTAAAACTTAAAATCTTTAATCTTATTTTTTAAAATATCTTTGGTAGTAACCATGATTTTTCCAACTGATCAGTTTTCTGCTCAAAAACAAAGATATGTAGAATACAGAAGTCCTAGTAAAATTAAAGCCTTCTATTATAGTGGCTCCATTATTAGTATCCGTTATATAATTTACCCATTATTTCAATCCATTTTTTTAAGTTGCTAACAAGTTGCTAAATAAGAGCAACAGCTGGATGCGAATTTACATGCTTGAGAAATATAACAACTGTTTAAAGCCATAAATTATACAGAAACTTGTTTGGAATAAAACAGAATTCAAGATTCAAACATCTTAGATATTAGGAACAGTAGAAATAGTTTGACTAAAATAATGATAGGACTCACAGAATGTTCAAAAGTGAACTGTAATGTAGTGAATTGTAGAATATAATAAAGAACGCAATAAAGATTTAATTTTTACATTGTGCAAAACATTCAAAAGCAACATTGAAATACATTGTGATTTTGACAATATTGCCAATAATGAGAAATAACTAGTACTTAATTTTTTTTTAAAGTCTTAATTTGTTAGGAACAGCTGAGCAGTTGTAACATTAAAATACACATTCATTTGTTACATTACAAGTACATATAAAGCAGTGCTTGTCCTAGTGTTAAAGTGAACATACATGTAGAATCCCACGAAGAGACATTTAAATATATACAGTGCCGTGAAAAGGTTTTTTCCCCCTTCCCGGTTTTTTTTTAAATAAGTTTTTGCACATTTGTCACACTTAAAGGGTTAGTTCACCCAAAAATGGATCGCTGTGGATCGCCGGATCGGCTTTCACCGTGGACAAAGCGGAGTCCAGCCCGGGGTCGTCACATGTGGTTGCCACAAGCCCGCCGGCCGCCGCTCACTCTAACCGACCGGCCGTTCCTCACGCTAGCCCGCAGTGTGTGACGCTGTGTGTTTCGTTGTGAAAGCGAAATTACTTTGTTTGGCCTTCCAAAAGAGGACACAACTAGAAATCAGTGGTTAAGTTGTATTTACAACACTGTTCCAGAACAGTACAACCCAAATATCCAGATGTGTGCTGCGCATTTTGCGGAGGATGAGGACTGTTTCCTGTTAGATTAGCCTACAATGCCGGTGTCTGTTTCTATAAAGTGGGGCAATTCCAACTTTGCAAGGACAGTCTGGTGCTTCTGACTCACAGTCTGTAAGTACGTATTTTATATTTAAAGAATTTGCCATTGATAATTCAAACACGAGTTTTGAGCAGTGTAGAGTAGCACTTGTTGTTTGTCATTTCTCCAGACACAGTTTTATGTTTACACAGCGCGATACGCAACGCGACGCGTAAAAAGACAGTTTAAGTCATAATCAGTAATTATGTCCCCACTGGATGATACAAATGCCTTGTTTATAATGGGTTTTATTGTTTTGTCTTGTCGCGCCGGGACACAGGGCATTACAGTATGGTAAGGTAAGTATGTAACATTTCCATCACACGCTTGAAGTATTCACCCAATCACAACGCACTGGATAGCTGGCCAATCAGAGCACACCTCGCTTTTCAGACCAATGAGCTTTGTGAAAATCTACGCGTTTTAGAAAGGTGGGCATAGAGGAGAAACAATAATGTACATTATGTGGAAAATAATGTGTTTTTTTAACCTTAAACCGCATCATTTACATATAAAATGCATAGCTAAAGCTATAAAGAACAAGAACCTATAAGCCATCATCTAAAGATCCCAGTCCTAATAGCAGAAAGTGTTGCATGCAGTAGAGTTAAAGCTGAATGATGGTTGAGTTCAGGATTTCAAGTACGTGTTTTGATTTAGATGACTTGGAGAGGTCTCGCTGTGACAAGAAAATGACAGATTAAGAGACATTTTGACATGAAAATATGTATCTGAACACTGATATGAAATGGTTACTCATAATTTATACTGGATATATTTACAGCCTAAAAATATTAAAGACAGAGTGACAGATAATGGCAGTTAGGCATTAACTGAATTGTAAATAAATAGAGACAGTCTTGGTTAGAAGTGTGGATTAGGAAGAAAAACAGCCCAGTTCAAAGAGAGGCCAAGAGGATGTATAAAAGTGCAACTAATCAGATATTATACATGCAACACAAATGCCTTCAGAGGTCAATGAAAACTTTATTTGTTTGTATAAAATGATATCATATGGAACATGTCCTACTTGCCTGTTCTGTTTAAACTAAAAGATTGTAACTACTGTATATTAGATATAATTTGGTAAGTTCAGTAATCATTTAACAATGTACAGTCAGCCAATCATTACTGCAAAATAAACCCCTTTAGGGTAATACAGGACCCTGTCAGTCTTGATCAACCCATAAGGGGTTATTTATCAATAATTACCAACTGACTGCATTGTCCATACATACTTTATAAAAGTGTTTAGTTAAATATATAAAAGTGTTACTTTTATTATACAGTACAACATAAGCAAATCAGTGTTAGCAAATCAAAGTGTGTTTAAGCAGTGTGTTTAACCATACAGTTAAATAGGCAAAATTTAGGATGTTTGGAAATAAATCTCTAACAAACCTTGATTATATGGATTCAGGCTTGACAAATTCCTTTAGAAACAAGTTTTTTATTAGCATAACATTATGCCAGTATCATACATTTTTTAAATAGGCATTTATATACTTATACACTTAACGGAATAGTTCACTCCAAAAAATGAAAATTTCCTGAAAATTCATTCACTTCTAGGCCATCCAAGATGTAGATGAGTTTGTTTCTTCATGGGAACAGATTTGGAGAAAATTTAGTATTACATACTTGCCCACCAATGGATCCTCTGCAGTGAATGGGTGCCGTCAGAATGAGAGTGCAAACAGCTGATAAAAACATCACAATAATCCACACCACTCCAGTCCATTAATTAACGTCTTGTAAAGTGAAAAGCTGCATGGTTGTAAAAAAACAAATCCATCATTTACACAGTTTAACTTTAAACTGTGGTGTCTAGCCAAATTACAAGTCCATAATCCATAATAATGCTTCCTCAAGTCCATCCCCTGTTGTCCTCTCACATCAAAAACCACAGATATGAGACTGTTGTCTCTTGTAAAGAGTGCATATTTCTCTCCGGATTCAGACAAGATTACTTTTTAACTGGAGAAAGCAATATTATGGATAGAGGAGTTTAAAACATCTTAATGATGGATTTATCACAGTTTTTTCAAGAAATTAATTGATGGACTGGAGTCATGTGGATTACTTGTGGTTTACTGTGATGTTTTAATCAGCAGTTTGGACTCTCATTCTGATGGCACTCATTCACTGCAGAGGATCTATTGGCGAGCAAGTGATGTAATACAATTGTTTTTCCCAAATCTGTTCTGATAAAGAAACAAAGTCATCTACATTGTGGATGGCCTGAGGGCGAGTACATTTTCAGCAAATTGTAATTGTTGGGTTTCTAAGGCTATTCCTTTAAAACACAATTCATTTCAAGCTCTTGCTCTCTTTGACCAGACTGTGAGTTACTGATGGAGAAGATGAAGACGAGTTTACCTGAAATTCTGAATAGGTGCTTGCGACAGAGTTAATGCTGAAGTTACGCTGTGGACTAGCTGGTACCTTCGTCATCCCAGCCACACCACCAGTTAGATGAGAGATATTCTCCTTATTGCATTCTAGCAAACCTTGATGAGGAGGTTTGCTATGGCCTGGAGTCTTCACATTACCCTGCTTTGAAAAAAGACGTGTAAGGAAAGTAGTAACACATTAACTTTGTTAATCAGTAAAGGATTGGGCAAATTAGTTAATTAAAAGCTTGAGAACAATGGTGTTGTTATGGCCGTGGCATGCACTGACCTTGCTTTCTGAAATCGGAGGACGCGATATAGGAGAATGACAGACAGTACCACCAAAGACAGATCGGATAGTGCTGTTAGAAGTGCCAGTACTGGAGGTAGCGTTTAGCTGAGGAAAAGCCAGAGTTAATACTGAAACAGCCATGCATTCATTTAAAATGTAAAAAATGTGTGCATCAAGGTGTTTAATGAGAATAAAACCAACATGAACACCCACTTTTCACAACCCAATCAATTCCCAATGGATAAAATCAAGTCCTGCTTTGCATGTTTTATATTGCAATACTCTTTTCACTTAGAAATATGACACATTACATGTAAAAAGGGCTGTGAACAGGGTTTCACATTGACTTTAATTCTGCTGTCTTCATCAGGAAATAAAATCCTATTGTACTTGCCTTTCGAGCTTTACAAGGTGTTGTGCTGCCCAGAAATCTTCGTTTAGTCGGTGTCCGGATCACAGTGCCATAGACCATGTCCTCCTCTGTCTGCTTGCTCTTCTTTAGTTGCTGCACGACAGTTATTGCATTATTAAAATCTATCAATATTAAATCTTCATGGTTTCAACTGGTCATTCTCTAGTAATGCATAATTCATAAATACAAACTACTCAGCAAATTTGGGTTAATGTATAAAATCAGAATTCTAATTCACAGCTCTGGAGTACAGGTATATTCCTATGTCCAGTAAAGTCAAATACATACCCGCTCCTGTTTTTCCCGCTCTTTCTCCAGCCGGTACGTCTCCCATTGATCAGTAACAAACTGCATGAACTTCTGACCATTCACCTGAAACTCTCTGTTCTGTTCATGTTCCCACTGTTCAATCTCAGCCTTCAGCTTCTTCTCAAGCTAAATGAGAGAGACTCGATTACTAAAGGCTAACCTTATAACGTAATATACTACTGTTCAAAAGTTAGAGGTTGGCAAAGTTTATAAAGTCACCAAGATTGCAGTTATTTGATCAAAAATACAGTCAAAACAGTTATATTGTGAGATATTATATTAAAATAAAAAATAGCTGTTTTTCATTTTAACATATTTTATTCCTATGATAAATTACAGCTATATTAAATATAAATAAAGTTGAATTTTCAGCAACAATTACTCCAGTCCTCAGTGATCCTTCAGAAATCATTCTAATATGCTGATTTGGTACTCAAGAAACATTTATATTATAATCAATGTTGAAAACAGTTGTGCTGATTAATATTTTTGTAGAAGCCATATTCATTTTTTCAGGATTTTTTGATGAATAAAAAAAAAGTTCAAAAGAACATCTTTTATTTGAATTAGAAATCTTTCAAACAATGTAAAGAATCCTTGCTGAATTAACGTATTAAAGGGGTCATATGATGCAATTTCAATTTTTCCTTTCTCTTTGGAGTGTTACAAGCTCTTGGTGCATAAAGAAGATCTGTAAAGTTGCAAAGACTAAAGTCTCAAATCCAAAGAGATATTCTTTATAAAAGTTAAGAGTCAGCCACGCCTATTAGGGAGTAAAAAAAGATAGATACCGATATATCGGCCGATATTCTTTATGTGTAGGCTATATTATAGTACAGTATAGTCAAAAGTTTGGACACACTTCCCATTCGTGTGTCCAAACTTTTGACTGGTACTGTATATAGAATACAGTATATAGTAGGGGTGCTCCGATTGATCGGCTACCGATCACTATCTGCCGATAATTGCGTTGGGATGTTTGATCGGCGATCTCTAAAAAGGCCGAACTCAAGCTGATGACGCACCTGCTGTGAGAGGTTTGGCCATCGTCTCAGTCTCTGTCCGGCGTGGGTGAAATAATTATAATGCTGAAGGTGATGTACAATAGGGCTGTCAAAATGGCTGAAAAACTAAATTCGAATTTTGTGCTTAAATATGATCAAAATTCGAATTATAAATGCATAATTTCAGTTAGGGTAAAGAAAAGCTTTTGGCTTTTCTCCTGAGGCCACAAGAGGGCGCATCGAGCATATAACATGACTATCTGTGAAAAAAAGTGCATAATGTTTAAAATAATGTTTATAAACCAATTATAATTAAGTTGCTTAAACAACTATAAACAAAACAGCATCATGTATGCATTCATAGTTTAATACAAAAGGCCGAAAGCCAATCATACAGAGTACATTTTTCGTTTAAAAACTCGAGTTGCAGTGGGATGGGGGAAAAAACCCACCATTAAGTCTCGAGATATGTTTTTTCAAAGTTGAACTTGCATTCATTTTACATGGCTTTCTAAACATGCGGTTCTCTTGTGCGAGACGCGAGTGCAACGGTGATAGATGCCCGAAATATGCGTTCTGTGTGAACGGTTTGGTTTCAGTTTTGACGTAAACAAGATCTTCTCCGCATTGATGTTCTTTTCCCGCAATATTTGTAATCAACAACGCAGCAGCGCCACATCTAGTTGCTTCAACTGGATAGGCTAACAAAAACATTGTAGCGTCTGCACCAACCAGACACACAATTTTTTTAGTTATATTTAACAAATACTCTGTAACACCCCTCAGTCAACAAACCAACTACGAGGGACTATGGACCTCAGAAAGGCAGAACAGGCCTCCGGTTCCAGGGCAACCAATGCTGATATCACTGGTTTTATTGCCCAAAGGAATGCGGGCAGAGCAACTCACTCATTTTCCTCATAGGAAAGACACATAATGCCCAGAGAAATGGACTGTTCTATAATTCATTCATAGGAAAACCTTTCTGTGAATGAACACACATATCCTCAGGTCATTGTGTATACCATTACTGTTCGTGTATATTGTCTTTTGAATTTTATACAGTTTTTTTATGCATGTTATGATAGACCACTAGTTAATATAACCTCACCTATATCATGTTTGGTCTCTATGAATGGCTCACGCACAGTTCCGCCCTGTTCTCTTGTTGTTCTTCTTCTGCTAAGAAGCGTGTTGGAGCCTGAGCCGGTGCGGGCATGCCTGGCGGGCTCCAACACAGCCAGTCAGTCTGCGGTTCTGTTAGATTCTGAGAAGATGAGGATGTGAGCTAGAACGCTCCTAAGGACACCCTAAGTTCGCGCCAGGCTTCGGCCTTGACTTTCCATTCACCAAGATCCTCTGACTCAAACTGGTTCTTTTTCATCAACCAACTTCAGCAAAGATTAACTTGAGCCTTCAGATTGCATCAGGACTCTTTCAGACAGACAAGACGTGCAAGTATCAAACTTAGTATCTTATTAATTGATACATTAAGTATCATTTGCACCTTTTTACAAAGGTGTGTTTGAACTAAGAAACTGATGTTTCCTTCAGGCTGTAGATCTGCTGAATATCAAATGGTACCATAGCTTCATGTTTTTATTTCTCTTCTTTTTACTGCCTAAGCTTTAACCCTTTTCCTATACCAACTGTATGTGTGTGTGTGTGTGTGTGTGTATGTGTATGTTAGACTAGTTTAAGTGTTTATGTAGTTAATAAAGTCTTACTTGTATCACACTTGACGTTGTTCATTGTTTGCTCATAACTGGAGTCCCTAATCATGCAGATTTTTGCTACATGCTCCAAGTAGTATTGTACAGTAAGAAAGTTATTTTCCTTAACCAGGAAATTAACGTTCTTAGAATTAACAGACAGTTGACACTGAGAGGTCAAATGAACGCTTACAGCGGATCTAAATATTTATAATTAATTATAACTAGTTATGATTAATTATTCATATTTCCCCTTTGAGCTGATTCGCTACAACATTATAATGTAATGACACTTACATTGTCATCGCATCTCGTGCGTCACTGATAAGGCAGCCACCTTAACACACACCTAAAATTCGAATGCAAAAAGTACGTAGAATTTTATTTTAAATTTGACGAATATTTTAAATTGGATTTTTTTTTTGACAGCCCTAATTAGAGGTTGACTGATGTATCGGTTTTGCCGATTAATCGGCACCGATAGTTTTTTGCTGGAACTATTGGTTATCGGCAAAAATCCATGCCGATAGTTTTCCGGGTTGCGTCCGTTGCTGGAACGGCTGAGAAGGGTCTGCTGTCATTATACAGTACGAGAGCGGCCTCTATGAACGCGATTGGCTAGCGTCTGCACCAGGGTATTTGCATAAGGCGATCTGATTGGCTGACACCTGCGTTGGTGCTTGAAAAGTTCTCAACTTCTGCCACGAGCAACGGACCCAACGCAACGCGACGGACCCACAATTAATTTCGGCAATGCTTGACGTCACTCCATTCAAAGTAAATGAGAGGCGTTGACACCGACGCCCCGTGTGAACTTTTCAAGCGCCAACGCAGGCGTCAGTCAATCAGATCGCCTTATGCAACTGATCTGGTGCAGACGCTAGCCAATCGCGTTCATGCAACACTAGAAAACTAATGTGGTTGACTGTTGTCACTAGGACGGTCGCGTCAGCACCAAGCTTCAGAAACGCCCTCCATCAAGCATCGACGCTGACGCCCCGTGTGAATGTACCATAAGCGAGCTGCACAGTTGACACAGGAATTGTCACTTGCACAATCGAGGCAGTGTTGCATCATCACTAAAGTTTATAAATTGCATTTCTTTTTAATTCTTGCCAGTGTTTAAACCATTCAGCGCTTGCGCGCTCTCCCGGAGACCGTGTGCTTATCCACTCGCAGCACACACACATAATGCCCGGTTCACATTACTCCGTTTGCAGTGCGTATGCGGTGCAAATTTTAACAGATTAATTCAGCATGCACACTGCACACGGTTGCTGTCCGGCTATGCGTTCCAGTAGCGGTGCGTCTGCAGCAATGCAGAGATTGTTTTCCGCTGCAAGTCTATTTTTGTTGCGCTGCAAGCGCTGAATTAATGTAACAGCGCATTGTTTGCGGTAAATATGAACATGGATTGACACGAAAATGCAGTGATTATACCATAAATGCATATAATTAAAATCTACTGTGTTTCAAAGTCAACACATAAGTTATGGCTTTTTGGCTAGGTTTAAAGGAAAAGAGCTTTTAGATAAAGAAAGCAATAACAGATGGCATTCGTGGAGGTAGCAAAACAAAGTTCTTTATGAACGGCAGGATTGCTTGTAATAAAGATTTCAATGCAAAAGGAAAGGCAGTAGAGCTGACTATTTCTGTCAATGGTAAGTTTGTGATAACGTAAGAAAAGTAGTTTAAATGTTTTGCCACTTGCTTGAGCAACTTAATATATAAATCTAGGCTGGCTGTATCCAAGCATGTTAACAGAGAGTTGAGTGGAAGGAAAAAGATGCACAACCAATTCGCACATATAAAGCTAAACAATAAAGAAAAAGACATTCTAATCTTACTGGTTAACGATCGACTAATGAGCTTTGTTTGACGGTCAGGAAAATAAAAATGAACAAAATGCTGTCATTCTACAATTCTCCACCGTATTTACTATGCTGCGCGCAAGTTCAGGTAACTCAAAAACTTGCGTACACGAGCTGAGACCTGGGGCCTGATGTATAAACGTTTAAACGATGTATAACATTTTCCACGTACGTATTGAGATTTATAAAAAATAAACTTGCCGTAAATATGTGCGCACCGTGCGTGAAACAACCGTACACCCAATTTTCTGTCGTACGTTCGTTTCATAAACGAGGCCCATTGTGAGAGTAAAACACGAGGACACGCGTGCGTGCGTGCGTGCGTGTGAGAGAGAGAGAGAGAGAGAGACAGACAGACAGACACAGACAGGGTCACATCACAGTGGAGTCAGCTGTCTTAACCGTGGTCTGCAATCATCATGTCCAGAAGACTCTAAAGTACATGTTTTGTTAGTTTATCACTGAAAACACTCTTTCTTAGGATTCATCAGTTGTTGCTCAAGTACAACTCAACACTCACTTTGACATGATTCTTAACCACATTTGTCCTTTCTAATCGCTGATCCTCAGGGATGCCAATTTCCTCCCAGATGTCCTTTAGGTGGCAGAGAGCTTTATTCAGACATGCCACCGATTCTGCAGCTATCAACTCACTGAAATCATTGAGAGAAAGAATAGAAAACACAGTGTCGATAAGCATCTATTCTAACAGATGTGTACTTCTAGATATCCACCAGTGATTACGTCCATTAATAACATTAACAGAAGTTACTACATCATTATCTACTGTACATTCAGGTGTTTAGAAATGTGAAGAAACGTTTTTTTTTTTTATATTCATTCATTAAATGCACAAAGAACTATATAAAATGTCTGCTATGACCAGTGTTGGGGGTAACGCATTACAAGTAACGCGAGTTACGTAATCAGATTACTTTTTTCAAGTAACGCATTACTTTTGATAATTAAATGTTAAACAACACAAATATAATTTATGTATTTAATCCCATTCTATTAACCAATGTCTTTGCTTCTGACCTTCGATGATCCAGTTCAACCGTACTAATAAGCACAAATTACTCTAGACAAACATTTGTGTCTTTGTTTATTGCTGAAGTGTGTTGAAATGTCTTCTTCTGCGTTCTACTGTACAGATGTAAATGTACTTTCCCTTCAGCCCGAGGCTTATTCATTTCACTTCTGGTGTGAAAAGGCTTTTATATTTGCCAAAAATAGAACTTTTTTATTTTAAAAACAAACAAGCAAGTCCTGCTCAGATTTAAAAAGTAACGCAACACATTACTTTCCATTAACAGTAACGTAATTATTTACTTTTTTAAATGGAGTAACGCGATATTGTAAGGCATTACTTTTAAAAGTAACTATCCCCAACACTGACTATGACATTATACGACCCACCCACTCATACAAGCTGGAGTTAAATGAGCTGAAAACACTTGCTATCTGTCAACAGCAGTAACGTTACGCGCTGCACGAATCTCAGGCATGTAATGATGGCGTGTGTGGATTGAAATACAATGCTAATGTTATCATCTTCAAAACAAGCTAACGTTACAACTCAAACTCAATTCAAATGACACGCATGCTTAAATCTGTCTCCGCATTCGTAGATAAACACCCTAAAAGAATATCATATCAGCACACATACTCACCTCTTCCTCATCCTCGTCCCAAGACAAGGCTCTTCGCTGTTTATTTGTATTTTAGAAAGGAATATTTCACTGTAGTCTTCGTACGCGTAACTGTTTCTGTCTGATTCAAAATATGCGTCAAAACAGCAGCGCTCCTCTGATTGGCTGTTTGGAGCTTCTCTGCGCGTGCGTGCTCCAGCATGACCTCAGAAACAGTTTTGAACGACCACTCCTGATTTTTTTTCCATGAACAGCGTACTATGATAATGTATTGCAACAAATAAATAATTGTGCAGCAATAATAATGGTCTATTTTACCATTTATTAATTAAGAAATATCTTGTGTTTCTGTTTATTGCACTATGTTTAATGTCTATATTATCTAGCATATTTTTCTGTTAGCTTTTTCCATACCGACATTTGTTTAAAACTAGCTGCTTTTCATGCTAGGTTGAATTTATGTTAGATAATAGATAATATTAAATTTAAACATATCTAATAGGTCTCATAACAAAGTGTCATTTTTTTGGAATTGAGATTTATACATCATCTGAAAGCTGAATAAATAAGCTTTCCATTGATGTATGGTTTGTTAGAATAGGACAATATTTGGCCGAGAGACAACTATTTGAAAATCTGGAATCTGAGTGAGCAACAAATCTAAATATTAAAAAAAATCGTCTTTAAAGTTGTCCAAATGAAGTTCTTAGCAATGCATATTACTGATCAAAAGTTAAGTTTTGATATAAGTATGGTGGGAAATTTACAAAATACCTTTATGGAACATGATCTTTACTTAATATCCTAATGATTTTTGGCATAAAAGAAAAATATCATTTTAACCCATGCAGTCTAGGCCAGGGATCCTCAAATCTGGCCCACGAGATCCATATTCCTGCAGAGTTTAGCTCCAACCCTAATCAGACACACCTGAGCATGCTAATCAATGTCTTCAGGATCATTAGAAAATCACAGATAGGTGAGTTTGATCAGGGTTGGAGCTAAACTCTAAGCGCATTGGCCCTCCAGGGCAAGATTTGAGGAACCCTGGTCTAGGCTATTGCCACAAGTACAGGGTCACATATTTGTGTGCGTATAGTATGCAGCATTGTTGTGCATTTAAAAAATAAACTGTTTAACTTACACTTGAACATGTACACATAGCTAGACCACTGGGCCATTTCACTGTTTCACACACCTGACACCAGTAACTGTTTTATTGATCAGTCTTGAATCAGTTATTACACACATGGCAAACGCTTAACAAACTGTATAAAAAAATTGTATAAAGTGCAGTTTTCTAAATTCATAAATTCAGATGACAGCTGCGCAGACATTTAACAAGACAGTTCACCTGAAAAGTACAATCCTGTCCTAATTTACTCACCCTCATATCGTTCCAGACATGCCGACTTTCTTTCTTCTGTGAAAAATAAAATAAAATATTTTGAGAAACATTTCAGTGTTTTATCCCCCCATATAATACAGGTCAATGGTCACCTAAGCGGTTTGGTTACAAACATTCTTCAAAATATATATTTTTTTATGTTCTGCAAAAGAAAGAAAGTCATGCAGGTTTGAAACACATGAGGGTGGGTAAAAAATGGCAGAATTTTCCTTTTTGGGTAAACTATCCCTTTAAGAATAATCACATCTTTTTGTCATTCCCTCTAATAGTGCATTTGTTTTGGGATGAAATAGATGTCCGGGATGATTAGGGCATATTCTGTCCATTTTGCCCTCTCCTGGAAATGATCATAAAGTGTCCTCTTGTGGAATGTTTTCTCAGACTCAAGCACTGTTATCCAGTAATGCTTCCAGAAGCCGTGCACTGTTTGTGATGGCTGTAGTGACCACTATGAATCTGCAACCTTTCAAATGGACAATTTTATATTAACCATATATTCCATTTGTTTTATGGAATAAGTATTTATAAAAACACAAAATACATTCTAGAATATTTTACCCCTTTCCTTGCCAAGGAACCGGAGTGCAGAGATCTCAGAGTAGGTGCAGCCACCAAGAAACATCACTAGAACAATCCTTTGAGCATCAGTTTTGTTCCTGGCTTCTGAACTACTACAGCCGCCTGAAACAAAAACAGGACAAAAGAGGGGGAAATGTAGGCTTGATAGCAAAAAAAAACAAATAAAATGATTATTAATAATAATAGTTTTCTCAGCATAAGAAATGTTGACTAAATAATTATAAATATATTCTGAAATACTACACCATCATATTATGTTTACTCAGTTTACAAAGAGCTTTATACAAACAAATTCTTTGTTCAAACCTGTTACAGCAAATTCCTGTCTATTCAGCATGCGTGCAACCTCCTCCAGACCTGTCCAACCATCTCTCTCCATCACCTGCGGACAGCACAGGCCAGAAGCCAACACTTTAAAATGTTGTTTAGCAAGAACAAGAAAAAAAAATAAAGGCTAAGCAGCCAAAGCCTTCTTTGAAAGCTAACCTGTTCGATCAGTTTGCAGCTCAGAGGAATATAAGCACCACTGAAAACATACGCCATGTCTCGCGGAACGCGAAGATCATATTCCTCACCAGACTTTGGTACCTATATGTGTAGATTAGATGATCATGAAGTAAATATCATAATTTTAAACAGTATTTATTTATTTTTCTTTAAAAAAATAAAAATAAAGTTAGCTAACCAGAGCTAGTCTTTTACTCAGAGCTCGAAAATTGCTCTTCTTAGCCAATGAGGAAAAGGCATCCGTCAGTTTCCCTGAACGGAAACATAGGAAACTCCCCAGTGCATGTACGTGTATATTGTAGTCAATATATAATAAATATGAGAGTGAGAGAGGAAGAGAGAGAGAGTGCATGAGAGAGTCCACATTCTCACCTACAGTCTTGTCAGTGACAAGTTTCCCCACTTTACTCTCCATGACTGTCAGTGTTTCTCCAGCTTGCTGTTCTTCCAGCAAACCCAGCTGCCTCAGGTTTGCAAACGTCAGCAGGTGCTCTATACCATAACTCTGAACAAGAGACAACATATGGTACCACAGAGGACATAATCTCAAAAACAGTTTCAGTAATTTAAGATCATCCACTTAAACACTTGTTTTAAAGGCATTCTTATAAAGTAAAATGGCTTAATGAAGCTTTAGGTAAATGAGTAGTTCATAAATGTGAACTTTCAGATCATAACATACCTGAAGGTACTGAGCTTTAAGAGATTTATAGTCTTTGGACAAAAGACCTGTGGGAGAATTAAATGCATTATTGAACAGATGTTCATCAAATAAACAGCTTAAGACATGGAATCCATATACAAGAATTAATCAGACTCACCATTTTCTGTGATGGACAACAGGCAAAGGAGTCTAAGACTGTCAATCATTGACACCTGATGGACAGAGTTTCCTCAAGCATTATTATTACTGTAGCATTATCAAACCAGTGTCTTATAACAATAACAGCGTTGTTTTTTCATACCTGTCTGTTGATATGTTCTTCAATGTAGGTGATACATTCACGGATCTCAAAGCCTTCAAGTAATGCTAGTATTTGGGAAAGAGCGGAGAAAATATAGAAATGGGTGAGATTACAGTGTCGTGTTGTAGAATTCATATTTCAGATTTGCATGATCTCTTATCAAGACTTGATACTTATCAAGACATCTTACAATGTTCAGTCTTCAACAATTCCTGGAAATCTTGCTTGGCTTTCTTCTTCATCATAGATTCACTTGCACCAATATCTAGTGGAAGAACAAAGCATGTTCTTATATTTATTATTAAGAAACTGTTTTTATTATTTGAAAGACGTTTATTACACTTATCAAGTCTATATTTATTCAAAAAGTACAGTAAAAAAAAAACAGTATGTTACTATTTAAAATAAATTATAAAAAATTCTATAAATCATATATTATAAAACGGATAGTTCCAGTGCTTGATTCTGATTGGCTGAGCCACGTTCGAAGCTGTTGTAAATTACTCTACAAACATACACCTTTGTTTACATCTGTGTGTTGCTTGGCAGCCACTTTGTTGCAACCACAACCGATTCTGAGAAACTACATTGTTTGGCAGAAGAATAATGTTTTTATTAATATAATTACACTTTATTTGCTCTGTTTTGATTTGTGAATAACACAATAACCGTTTTATAAAAACAGTAAGCCCTGCGAAGCCGTGGTTTACAGTGAATTTATAGCAGCTAAAGGGGTTTTAGGCACTCTGCTTCGCTGAAATTCACTATAAACCCCGGCTTCTTGGGGCTTATTGCTTTAATTTATTCCTGTGATGTCAAAGCTGAATTTTCAGCAGCTATTATTCCGGTCTTCGGTGTCTGTCACTTGATCCTTCAGAAATCAAAATATGCTTAAAATCAAAACATTTTTAGTGGAAACCATGATTGTCAGGATTTTTGATGAATTGAAAGTACAAAGGAGCAGCATTTTTTAAAATAGAAATCTTTTGTAACAGTATACAGTGGTGTGAAAAAGTGTTGGCCCCCTTCCTGATTTTTTTGCATGTTTGTCTTGGATGTCCATCCCACGCCGTTTCTGTTACCAATTCACATATTTTTGATTGCTGTCACACACAGAGAATATGCTAATATTCTCTGCTAATATACATATTGTGACATGTCACATGTCACAATATGTATCCTAATGTGCTATGTATGAAGCACGTGCCATCTGTAGCAAGCACTTACATCATATGCTGTTTGAAGATTTTTGGCCTTCTGACTTAAAAAGCCAAACACATTGGAGAAATGCTCGTTCCTTATTTCATCGAACACCTGATGAATTAAACAAGCAGCAGGGTCGTTTTTAAAATAGTAGCTACTAACCACTGTCAATGTAATAAAGTCTATGTAGCTCTTACTTTATCTTGAGAGTTAAGCATCACTTTGATGCTCTTGTCAGTGGAAGTGACATCAGGTCCAAACTCCACACTGCCTAGAAGCAAAATCAAAATGACATAAAAAGGATGAACTTGAACATAATTAACCCATTATATAGATAGACATAAACATGTTTTAAACAATTAAGACAAAGAGCCTGTAATATATAATTGCTTACCACATTTTATTCTGAAAATATCATCTACCAATCCCTCATAAACAACTTGAGAGCAGAGTGGAGTAACAAAGTCCACATCTAAAATATTAAAATACAAGTTATGCCAGCTCTTATTACAACAGATAAAGACTGTAAGAGTACATCTAAATATAAATGTAATTTCTTTTTAAATAACTGACCTCTGTCAATAAGAAATACTTTTGCAAATTCAGGTTGTCTTGTTCTCTGTTCCCCCTCCTCCATGAGCTCCCTCCAGGATTCATACACCATCTACATACATAGACAAATGACATGAAAGACTGCCTTGATTCTCATCCAATCTATGATGGAAAGGGTTTTGTCACAAATCCTCACCTTGGCACATCTACCGATCCCATACACTTTGGAGAAAGAACCATAGACAGACTGTAAAAGATGTAGTGCACTTCCTGCAGTGGTCACCCAGCGCTGATCTCCCTCCTGATGAATCATATCACAATTACTATTTTATTATGCCAATCCCACATTTAAAAAATTACACTACTATTCAAAAGTCCCAGGTCAGTGTGATTTATTTTAAGAAAATTAAGAAGATTTATTTTAATGAAATAATCTACAGTCGGTAAAGAGATTTATGTTAGAAATAGATTTATCAAATAAATTATTTTCAAATTTCTACTCACACTGAAAAATATGATCACAGTTTTCACAAAAATATCAAGCAGCAATATTAAAAATAAGTAATGTTAAACAGCAAAATTCACAATATTAGAATGACTTCTGAAGATTCATGTGACATTCCTTCTTGATAACAAGAATACATACTAAAAATCTTACTAAAACTAATCAAACATGCCAAATTAAAACCTTTTTTTCGGCCCTAAAGCACTGTAGCATCCAAATCAGCATTACCAGAAAGTTCTCTCTGAAGAATTCAGGCAGCTCTAAACTCCACCTTTTTCCGGTAGTGGTTTCGCTATCTATCTGACAGTCCGAGTCATTTCCGCGAATCGGTTCTTTTGAACAGCAAAACCAATTCAGTGATTCTTTTGCGTCTTCCATTAGTTTTAGGTGCCAATGTGGCATACACTGGCATTAAAGATTCTGAAACGTAGGCACATATCGATATTTACTACGTCTTTCTATTAATGCACGTGTTTATTATCATTGAATACACTCGGTTCATTTTGTTGCAGCCATGATTCATAAGTCATTTGCAACAACAAACATACTAATTCCTCACTCCTTGCACGCTCTAACAGAACTATACTTCATAGTTTCATATGCTTGTTGATGAAAAGGTATAATACACCATGTTAACGTGTGTACTGTTAGCATTTCTGTTATTCATTTCATTTCGAACCGTGAACCGACTCATTGAAAAGATCCAACTCAAAAGAACAATTCTTTCACGAATCGAACGAATATCGCTACGCTTGTTTCACTACGGACGTCTTACATGCGGACACAAAAACAGACTTACAAACAATGTAGATATATAATGTGTCATCGCCCTTATTTTTAAACTTATGATTGACTTGCATGTTTTGTGTTGTACATTAACAAATCAGTCCGAACTATTATAAAAGCATAATCAGACTGTGCATGATCATATTCTACAAAAGTAGCTATGAGCTCTTCGTCGACTGCAGTGCTGCTGCTGGAAACGGTCAACTTCGCTGCAGAGAAACATCGAAATCAGCGCCGTAAAGATCCTGATGCCACACCATACATCAATCACCCCATAGGTACTGTACCAGAGCACTTCACTACAAAGACGAAGCATATATAATCCGACAGACTCCAGAAATGCAGCTGCTTTTCTTGTCTTTGCAGGGGTGGCAAGGATTTTAAGTCATGAGGGTGGAATCACAGATCTTGAAGTTTTACAAGTGAGTCAGAGATATGTTTGTGCGTTACTTTGATCAGTTTGTACACTAAACATGTTTAATTATTGAAGAAATAACCAGTTTTATTTAAAGAGCCGTGCATTGATTTATTACAGAGGCTAAAGGAATTTTGCAAATGCATTGATTGAACTGTATGCTCTTGTGTGATGCAGGCTGCATTGCTTCATGACACAGTAGAGGACACTGACACAACCTTCGATGAGCTGGAGTCTGTGTTTGGACCGACAGTGGCGAGGATCGTCCAGGAGGTTACAGATGACGGGTCGTTACCAAAAGAGGAGAGAAAACGGCTGCAAGTGGAGCACGCACCACACCGCAGCCATCAAGCCAAGCTAGTGAAACTTGCAGACAAGTTGTACAATTTGCGGGACCTCAATCGTTGCACTCCCACAGGTGAGACATTAAAACTGCTGCTCCGGAGACGAATACATTTCCAGCCTGTAATTATGCTGCTTGTGTAAGACTGCTGTCTTGCATCTGTGTTGACAGGTTGGACGGCAGAAAGGGTTCAAGAATACTTCGTGTGGGCGTCTCGGGTGGCAAAAGGGCTCCGTGGCACCAATGCAGCTCTCGAGGAGAAACTGCAGCAGCTCTTTTGGGAGAGAGGAGTGGAGTTATGATGGTGTCACACAAGCCACTGGTGGAAATTATGGAGCTTTTTATTTTATTTTTTTGTAACTGATCATCGTCAAGGGATGTTCTTTACCCTAAAGCAGGGTTCCTCAAATCTTGCCCTGGAGGTCCAATGCGCTGCAGAGTTTAGCTCCAACCCTGATCAAACTCAGCTACCTGTGATTGTCTAATGATCCTGAAGACATCGATTAGCATGCTCAGGTGTGTTTGATTAGGGTTAGAGCGAAACTCTGCAGGAAAGTGGATCTCGTGGGCCAGATTTGAGGATCCCTGCCCTAAAGGGACAGTTCGGCCCTCTCTGTAGTCGTTCCAAACCTGTTTTGACTTTCTTTCCTCTGTGGAGCACAAGAGGAGATGTTGATGAAGATTTCCTCGACATTTTCTTTTGCGTTCCGCTTTATAAAGTCCTCCAGAACGACATCAGGTTGAATGACGGATTAATATTTGAGTCGGCTTTAGTGTTACGATTTTTTTATGTAAAGATTTTTTTTAATAATACAAATGTAAGTGTATAATACTTGCACAGATATGAAATTAAAGTTTTGTTAAATGTGACAAATGTTGTTGTGTATTAATATTCTTCAATGGCTCAATATGAATAATAAAAGATCATGCTTTATTACTAAGATGTATCATGTTGTAACCATAGTTTAGTTTACAGTAAAACTGTAAGCGATTACAAGAATTGTCTTGGTACTGTAACTGTGGGAAATAAACCACAGCTATTAAATGACAAAATAAAAGTGAAATGATGATTCTGAGAGCAAACACTGCTTGAAGGAGATAGGATATTAATTTGAGTGAGAATAGGGACATCAATATTAATTTATGATTTTAGGAAGTGTAGAAAACATGTTGTTTTTATAATAATAGTAGTAATGATTTTAGAATATATGGCTCTTTTACTTGATTACTGTTATTCCGCTGACAACTTGTCACCAAAAGGGAAGGACAGGACAAATCAATAATCTGTTGAATTATAAAAGTGCAAGTAAAGGTAGGAACTACTTAACAGGTCAGTGTTTCCGGGGACGAGTTTTCGGAGTGCGGTTTCCTATTGGCGTACAATTTCCGGGACGTCCATGTTAGCGGATAAAGGACCGTAAACAGGATTTTTACGAAGACTTTCAGCGATTTTGTTGTTTTCTAGTGTAAAGGGACCCTCGTGAATTCTCCAAAATGTCAGGAGCAAACGCATTAAATGCCAAGCAGCCGCCGATTCAGTCGACGGCAGGAGCCGTGCCGATCCGCAATGAAAAAGGTATTTGTTTGAGAAACACTTAGCTTTGACCGTTAGCATGTATTGACATCGTGTGAGTGTGCAATATCATGCAGTAATAAAAACATAACATTCTTGGTCGTTAAACATACATGTACGTGTGTAGTTTTCACATAGTTACTGTACAAACAGTTTTCTGTAGAATAAATATGGGGGGGAAACTGTTACTATGTTACAGTTACAGTTACTTTTTCTGTATGACTACAAGACTTGGTAACTTTGCAATAATAAACCACCACAGTGGTTATTACATTTGACAATGGTAATGACAACGTCCTGAGTGCATAATTATTCATTCATAATTTTAGAAAATGTTTTTCACAAATCTATAAGATGTAGCAACTGCTTTCTATAGTAAAACAGCTTATGGCACTATCAATGTTTTGTTTTTATTTAACTTCAGGTGAAATTTCTATGGAGAAAGTGAAGGTGAAGCGATATGTGTCGGGTAAGCGTCCAGACTATGCCCCGATGGAGTCCTCCGATGAAGAGGAGGAGGATTTCCAGTTTGTGAAGAAGGGTAAAGAGGCTGAACCAGAGATGGAAATTGAAGTGGAGGAAAAATAAACTGTAGTGATTGTAGTATAATATACCCTATAGTTGTATTAAACTTAGTACAGTATTGGGAAAGTAATTTGTTTATATTACTATAGTTGTTATATTACAAATTAACTCAAGTATTTTACTATAGTATGGTTCAGAAACACTATAGTATTTACTATAAATTACTACAGTATTTTTTTCATGTGGGAATGGCTACCAGCAGCTGTTTGGTACTAAATATTAAAATGAGAACTAAAATTTTAAACATAAATTATACTAAAATAGCACTGATGAGCACTGCAATTTATATAATTTCTCATCAATATGATTTCCCAGGAAGGACCGAGTGACAGTTGCAGAACGAGAAGCAGAGGAGCAGAGACAGAAAGAGCTGGAAATCGAGGCCAAAAAACAGGCTGAAGAGAGGCGGCGCTACACACTGAAGATCGTAGAGGAAGAGGCCAAGAAAGAGTATGAGGAGAACAAACGTACTCTGGCTGCTCTTGATGCTCTGGACACCGATGGAGAAAATGAGGAGGAGGAGTATGAAGCCTGGAAAGTGAGGGAACTGAAGCGTATTAAGAGGGACAGAGAAGACAGAGAAGCGTGAGTACTCATCATCTTTGCAAACACTGTTTTGTTTCACACTAGTAAAACAAATGATAATCCCACATGGCTTTTTCTTACATTACAGAATAGAGAAAGAGAAAGCAGAAATCGAGAGGTTTCGCACTCTTACTGAGGAAGAGCGAAGAGCAGAACTGCGGACAAATGGAAAAGTTGTCACCAACAAAGCAACAAAGGGCAAATACAAGTTTCTGCAGAAGTACTATCACAGAGGAGCTTTCTTCATGGTGAGTAATGGGCAGGTCATCATTACCTGATCACAATCTGTTCTTGATGTCAAATATAAGTTTTATCTTTTCTGCAGGATGACGAGCAAGATGTCTTCAGGAGAGACTTCAGTGCGCCAACTCTTGAGGACCATTTCAACAAAACAATCTTACCTAAAGTCATGCAGGTCAGTGCCATCTATTTGAATTCATCATATTGGTTTCGACATCGATGCCATTTTCCAGCTGAGTTGTAGGGGTGGGCAATATGACCAAAATCTTATGTCACGATATGAGTAATTTTATTTCACGGTAACAATATATATCACGGTATAGTTATTTTTGCTTTAAATAAGGTCTTTATAATATCAAAATTCTGATATTGTAGAAATGTCATAATTTTTGTCACCAGTGTCAATACTACAAAAAAACTAATACTAGCCTAAATTATAAAAAAATAGAAGAAAAAACTCAAGCTCACTGAAAACAAGTTAGCAGTCAGTGATTAAAGGGGTCATATGATGCTGCTAAAAAGAACATTATTTTGTGTATTTGGTGTAATGAAATGTTTATGCAGTTGAAAGTAAAAAAAACACAATTTTCCACATACTGTACATTACTGTTGCTCCTCTATGCCCCTCCTTTCTGAAACGCGTCGATTTTTACAAAGCTCATCGGTCTGAAAAGTGAGGTGTGCTCTGATTGGC